GACTTAAAACGAGTCCAAGATGAAATCTTGTGGACCATGCATGTAAGCGCACATTGATGTCGGTCATGGGACTCTTTCGTGCTCTGATGCAAAGCCTGTCCAAGCAAGATCCTTGCAATAAATCAACCGCAGCAGAAGTTTGATGTTTACTTCTGTGGGCAGCAGATCTTGCATTGATGTGCCTGCTCTTGCTCACTCGTTTGCCAGTTCGTCGATGGACAAGAACTTCTGAGTGCTTTGCTGAATTCACTGCCCCTGTTTCACCTCTCTTCATGCCTTCATGGCACTTCGAGTTACTCTACAGGTTGCTCCCTTTCTGGTGGTTTTTGGGTGTTTGTTGGGTTTTGTGTGTTTGGGGGCTTGTTTGTGTTTCTTCCTTTCTCTGTTGGGTCGCAACCTGGCTGGTAGCTCTATATTCACTCGACTAAGGTGACTTGTGCACAACCCGTGCAAAAAAAGTTAAAGCTCTAAATGGAAGGATTCCTCTGTCCGTGGTTGAAGACCTGATATGATCGGTCCATAGCAAATCCGGTGCTGTGGGCCCAGCCAACCCGAGGTCGACCAGATGGCGATAGACCGCGTATCTATCGCTTACCGTGTCACCCACGAGTAAAATGCCACTCCTTGTGAGGTACACTTTACCTCCGTCGACTAACAATGGGTGGACAAGAGTGCCGTCGCTGAGTCTAGCACTGGCTCGGCGAAGAGGTTGCGGTAGTTGGATGACTTCATAGCCTGACGGTTCCATGGGGAGGAGAACGTCTAACATCTTGTTTCTGGCTGGTACCACCCCCGCAATTCGTAGGTGGAAATGATCAGGTGGCATCCTTAATGTGAGAGCTACGACATAACAACGATGTCTCGTTTTGGTCACTTCAGTAACGGCCAACGAGAGGTCCAGGGCTGCATCTGCAGATTCTACAGCGTCCTGCGCAGCAAAGGGACAAGCCCATGTTGGTGTTTCTTCTGGCAGCGTGAGAAAGCAGCCTATGCCAGCACTGTCGCTCGGATTTGCAGACATAGGGAGCGGGGGGGCAGCCAATATCTCTTTTCCTGTACAACAGGCTTGAGCCAGATGTACGGGTAGCGGATGTACGGCATGGATGGCCACAAATGACAGGCAGGCATGGATCGAGGGCTCAACCAGTGTCAACAACTCAGCTGAGTAAAACAAACTTTTAGAAAAAGACCATCTTAGCTCTGCCGCATGTGCACGTAGAAGGTCGTTGCCCTGGTTGGGGGCTGGTGAACTCTTTGTCAGCCTCCCAGTATAACAGGTAGGGAGCGATTGCTCGCTGGCTTATCTCAGACGACGTCTTTTGGCGTCAGTGACGACGCGAGCTCTCTTGGTTAGGCGCTCTTCGAGAGAGAGAGCTGTTCCCTGTTGTTGGCTGCTTGATAGTTGCGTTTTCGTCTGACTACTAAATTTGGAGGTAGCGATCTCGCCCCTGCTGCTCCGCCAAGTATGCCGGAAGAGGCAGAGATTTGGCTATCGAGCTCTGCAAGGAGTTCGGTTCGTTTTGCTTGGAGTAGTTCACTCCGAAAAAGAGGCGGGTCAGTTGGAGAAAAGCAATATTGCTGACACAAGAAGCTATGGAGCGAGTTCAGATGATCGTCGGTAGGACCGGGGCTGACCCAAAAGCCATCGTGTAGCCAAATGACCGAGCGGAAACCAAGAATCGGCTGTAAAAAGGTATAAGCAGCCCACGTCAGTTGCTGTTCGAGGTGTTCGTGGAAACGGAAAGGATCAGCACGGTTTCGCTCAATGGCCCTTGCTGGGCACCAGCTTGGTGGATTGTCGATGACGTAACGGCTTGCTGCATGCAGTTTATGTGCGAACCGGATTAGTTGCGCCGGCAGTTGGTCGCACCGGTGCGGAAGTTGACGTTGAAGAAAGGAGATGGCTTCGTGGGGTGTGCCGCTGTTGATGATAATCAAAGGCCATGTTTTTACTAACGTAGAAAGGAGAGCAGGGTCTCCGATTGTGTCAGGGACGTTGAGCATTTCTCGGAGAAAGTCTCTTGCAGTTTGTACTGGAGGCAAAGAGAGATGGACACCCGAAGTCGCACAACATCGCCGTGTGAGTTCATAATGCGCCCCACTAATGTCAACCTCGTAATGATCTGCGCCAAAGAGTAGCAGTCTAACTTTGCGGGGTAACCTTTGCGCAGAAGTACTTGGTGATACAGAATCAGATTCATCTTCTGACTCTGCCGGTCAGGAGAAGGCGAGGTGAGAACACATGCGTGAATGATGATCGGCCGATAGATGCGTGTTCGGCATGCATGGCGTGCAGAAACCCAACAAGTTTTTTAATTTACACAATTTCACTGTGCAAGTGTACAGTGCACTTGGCAACAACAGGCAAGAAAATCCTACTCTTCCTTTTTGCCATTTCGCTAGCACAGTGCCAGTGCTATGTCCATTTGGCCACCAAGAGCAAGCATTACTACTCTGACTCTCTGTCATAAACCCGATTTTGTTTTGGCCTTTTCACTGGGGTGTCCTTGTGATTGTGACTGTCAGATGCATTTTAGACTTAAGACACCCTGACCCCGACTGTGACTCTTGCCTTCAGGCCCGGTCAGAATCGACGGTGTTGACTTCAAGAATCTTCCAAGAGGAGCCAGACACCTTTGAAGGAGGAGGTTGCGGCAGCCTCTCCATGTTTGATACTGCGCGCTTGTGTGTGCAAATGTCAGCCATTGACCCCTGGCGCTTTTCACCTCCAAATGGCCGACCCAAGTTACATGTTTGCAGGAATGATTTGTTTAAGTTTTTAAGTTCTATTTGACAAGCCCCCACTCCACAGCCATATGTTTTCAGTCCCTTTCCCGTGTGCTTTTGTGATGTGAGGTGGGGTTGAGACACGAACGCCCCACAGCATTCCGAGGTATGTCATCGCAAGTGCGTGTTCTGGAGCTGGGTCTGCGAACTACTGCATGCTACTCGCTTTTCAAAACAGGGCGGTCTTGGTTTGTCATCCTGTCAACACCTGTCAAGTCATGTTCTGGTTGAGGTTGTTCACTAATAGGACCACTAGGCGTTCAATGGCCCATAGCAACAGCCCAAATGCCAATGGATGTGTCCACTGTTCCCACAACTTCCATAGTGCGCTGAGGCAGGAGCTGTGCAAGCGCACGGAGACGGACTTTGAGGAGATCATTGCGTCCGAGAAGGGTCGGTTGCTTCCTTTCTTGTGCAGGAATTACACCTGTCACTTGTTTTTGCATGCCCTCCAAACTCTTTGGCTTTGTTGTCCAGTGACATTACGTGGCCGTCTCTCACTTGTTATTCATATCTTCAGTATGGATCAAATATATATATATATATATGATGACATGATGATGGTAATGTCTATATTATAATATGTTTGATTCAAGTCTGCTACCAATCTTTTGGGCAAATGAGATGATACATGCTGCGTTCTGTTTTCACTACTTTCCCAGGTCTGTCGGACTTGGTAGCCCCCAACGGCATTGACCGAGACCAGAACTAGGTTTGGTTGGAATATGTTAAGCAAGTCGATGCAAGTCGCCAACTCACCAAGCGAGTTAACGCGTTTGATCTCCCCACTGTCCAATGTTATGTTTGGATTCGAGGCAAGTGGCAACATTGGTTTCACTAGGCATTTTCTTAGGGTCGTGCAAGTCTATGAGCATGGCAAGTTTGAGAAATTAAAGGCGTCGTGTTGCCCCTCAACAATTTGTTTTCTCAGGTGAACACATTTTTGATGACTGCCAAAGTGGTCATGCTGGCGGCTATTGCATCGTCCATGGCACGGCTTGTGAGCCAAGGGATCTCTCAGATGAGGGCGGCGAAGAGACCAGTCAGAACATTGTACCGAAACCAAACCTAGGCTACCGGCTACCTAGGGATTTGTTTTTCCAGGTAGTAATTCAGATTTGTTTCATTCAGTTTGCTGGCTGGGTCTCTCTAAGGATATCTTTATTGCGGGACCTCCCTGTACCCCGTACTCTGTTTTGAATCAGAGAAGACGTTCGCAGACATATGACCCTTTCCATGATGATCCTGCGTCACAGCCTGTCATCGAAACTTGCCGCCACATCAAGAAGAGAAAGCCCAAATGCTTTCTTGTGGAAGAGGCACAAGGGCAAAAATGAGTCACTAAAGGCACAGCAGCAGCACGGTCCCTTATGGTACTTATGGTCATCATGGTTTTCGTTGTGGTACGGGTGCTATGTTCCAGGTTCCCGGGTGGGTGAGCAAGGAATCCGACCAAATGTCACATGGTGTGAAACAGTGTCATGTTTGTTTGTTTGTTTGTTTGTTTATTTCTTTCTGTTGAAATGCCACAACAGACAAGTCACAAGTCCTGAGTGGCAAATCTTGAAGCCGACAAAATCCCACCAATTTTGATTCCTACTGTTCTCTTTACTTTTTTCTCCTCTTCTGCGCTTTGCAGGTGCCAACATTTTGTAAGCCTTGGCCCAAGCAATGCAAAGGCCGCTTCTTCGATCAATATCAGGCCAGGCTTTGTTTGGTCTGATTTTCCAGAGGAAGGGGTTCAAGGTCTGCAGTGCAGGGATTCTTCCACACTGACACTGTCCATGCTCGCTAGCCAAATGAATCTTAATCTCAGTCTCAACACTTTTTTGATAATTGCTGCATTACTGGTTGCAGGCATACGGCATACGGTACATGGTACACAGTTGCGAGAGTGTTGCCTTTCAGTGCAACCATGTCCATGTCGCGACCGCCGTGTGCTCAATTCTGCGCTCAGCATACCACAACGCCAATATGAGTGGCAATAAGGGCCGAAGCTTCAACAGGTCGATAGCGGGTCCACAAAGAACTAGAAGCAAACCAATGGGAAATAGATATTTGATTTATATGATATGATAAGAGATATGACTCTGACTCGACGGATTCTCTGACTCATTTGTCATTGACTCAGAACATTTGCCTGCACCTTGCTTATAGATATTGCAAGTGCGCACTATGGACCATAGTCGTAGTCATCCGATTTTTTGACCCGCATGCCCCTGGCAGCTTTGTGGCAATCCCACGCAGCCAATGAAGCTGCTGCAGAACATGACCTCCAACGGTTGAGGAAGCAGCAGCAAACCGCTAGGGCAAGGACGGCCTCTTTGCTTTCACGACAAAAGCGAAAGCTTGAGAAGGCGCATGAAGCTACCAAGGAGGAGTACTTGAGCCCCATTACCAGTGCCACTATCCAGGATTCATCTGAGGACGTCGTCTCTTTTCAGCAAACATACTTTGCCTCTGCAAGGGAGTGGAATCCGTTGGACAAGGATAGGAAAGTGAAAGCAACGGCAGATGGCAGGAGTAGGGCTGTGTGGCTCTATTTTCAAGCCTTTGCTGCAGCGGTGAAATCTTTATTTCTTGGCGACCGCCCAATGAGCAGTGAGCCTGGAACCATCTCACATGTGATATCGATCAACATTAACGATGACACTGACATCAAACTGGCTACCGGTCGCCGTCGTTCGACAGAAGTTCGCTCTGTGATGAACAACATTCAGCACCATATTGTTGCTCATGCTCACGGTCCAAGTTCTGGTCATGGCCCAGGTGAAAGTGGAGGTCTTGACGCTGAGGGCAAGTCTGCCCAAGAGACTGGCCGTGCTGTGACGTGGTTTTGCTTTCACCAACCTCTTGTAACTTTGGGCTGCGCAGACACAAAGGGTGTTTTCTCTGAGTTCTTGTCCTGGACATTGTGGCTTGCTGGCCAATGTGGTTGGCGAATGCTCCGATTGGGGGTGCCAGCAAATTTGTTTCAGCATGTGCGCTTTCATGTGCTCATCTATTGTGGTGACGCCCTGAGAACCAATGACGCTGTTTTCAACCAACTTGGGAAGATCATCACTGCGCAGCCAGTCCATGCTCCTCCTGGACAGCAAGGCAAATCAACATCCCTTCAAATTCATTGCCAAATACACCAGCTTTGCCTGGTGCGAAAGACATTGGCTTTAGGTTTTGATGGCTACTGGTCGAATTTGGTGCGACTGGGGCACTTGCTGGAGGGACACGGGTTCCGAAGTAAGTTCTATTCTGCGATGACAAAGGTGATCCGGGACAGCTTTCAATACTTTCCGGTTACGGAGCTGCCATCTGACTTTGAATCGTGGCATCGGCTGAAAATCAAACAGCTGAAGCTTTTCTCAGATGGCGGGAACAAGGGCAAAAGCCAGTCTGCATCAAGACGCTTGAGAACGCTCCACCAGCTCTTGCTCAAAGACAATGGCGACCCAAATCAGCCGATGTTTGTGCATTGGTGCTTGGGGCCCAGCTGTTGCGCAGGGGGGTGTGAAGAAGCTGTTTCAAGAATGGTCGAGCAGTATTTGGACCTGTTCGCCTATTTCAGCGTTCCACTGCTGTACAGATGGAAACATGCGGGATCTGCGAACAGTTTCGTCCGCGATGGGTTCTTTTTGCATCGTATTTTGCCACGGGCACTGAGCGCTATCCCAAGAATGAAATGACTCTTGGGCCAGCTTTCAACATACGTTTGCCCCAAGAAGTGTTCTGCCACAGCTTTTTTTGACAAGCTTTGGAGCCGTATCTTTTTTGTGTTGAGTCTAGGGTTGGCCTGGGCGCACAGGTATACTCATTGCATACAATCTCACAGGGTGTCTTGATGTTGTTCTAAAATTCAAGGATCGGTGGGTAGGAAGACTAAAGGTGGGAAAATGACATCTTGAGGTAGAAAGCATTTCCCCGCCCTGATGTTGAATCAATAATTAAGAATCATGACTCATTTTACATTGTATTAACTATTGAGTCAAGATATTTAGCCGAGCGCTGAGCACATAAAAGCAAGGCAATGCACCAAGCACACGTCGACAGAATAATGCGCTGAAGTCGAAACATAGTCTGCAGTCAGTAGTGTAGTGTAGTGTAGTGTGTAGTGTAGTGTGGGGTGGTGGTGGTGGTGGTGGTGGTGGTGGTGGTGGTGGTGGTGGTGGTGGTAGCAATAGTAGTAGTGGCCTCCGCAACTTGTATGCGGACTTGGCTGCAGCTCAGGTGAGACGGACAAGGTCATGCAAGTTGTCGACAAATGGGCTCAGGCTGCTCAATCAACCAACTCCAACTTAGCGGAGACTCTGGGGAACGCAGTGGATGAGTTGCTGGACCAAGAGTCTTCTTTCGCAGATCAGAACAGGAAACGACTGAAGCTGGTCAGTGCGGCATTTGAGAAGCAGAACTTTGAAACGATTGTCAACGTTGTTGATGTGCTTTTGGATCCCATTGATGTTGGTATCAACCGCCTTCTTGAGCGCAGCTCTCTATTGAAAACCCTTCGCTACAATGATGTCAGTGGACAGAACCGGAGTCTGGAAGAGGTCAGGGGCCGTTCGCAAACTATGTTTTTGAATTGGGCATCTGGTCGCTTTGGGCGCTCAGTTGTGAAGGGGCTGGTTGCTCGGCTGAAGTCTTCTGATTTGGGAAGCCTGCGCCAGAACCAAAGCATGGGCAGTGAGTCTCTTTCACAAACATGCTTTCAGCTGGTCATGTTTGCCACCTCAGACGTGTGGCGGCGATGTGTCTATGCGGTGCAAGCTTTTCCATACTGCTTGTTTGACTTGGTAGAGTGCACAGCTGAAGAGTTCATGACAAAGTGGGCTGGTTTTCAGGCGGCTCTGCATCAGGGCCAATCCTGCATCGATGCCACTTTCAGTGCACGCCTGTTGCGCGCTTACAACTTCGCTGATATGACTGAGGATGCAAAGCTGGCACGCGCTCAGGAAATCCAACGTGTGCTTCGAGACATTGCAGTGTATTGTCCTTTAGCCACCGATGCTGTGGAAAACCTGCACGGCGCTCATCAGTGGGCTTTGCACGTTGCTCGTGGCATGTCGAAATCATCCAGTGTGGCCGCACAGTCTAGTGTCCTAGCTTCACTGCAGAATGAACATGCCCACTTGAAGTCCGTTGTGGATGCAAAGACTTACCCGAGGAAGTATCAAATTGCGAATAGTGCCAAGCAGATGGGCCGCAGCAAGGGCAAAGTGAAGCAGAAATGTCCAAAGGTCAGGGTAGTCAAAGCTGCTCGCCAAAAGAGGCGATCCGTGTGTGGCTGGAATCTTTTTCAGCGGGAGAGAATGCAACATCACGGATGCTTGTCCCCTGCAGAGTATCGGAGTGCTCTCAAGGACATTGGTCAGGCATGGAAGTGTCTCCCACCGGGGAAAAAACAACAGTACCACATGCAAGCAACCCATGAGCAAGCCTGCCGTGATGAGATTGTCACACGGCCTCTGAGATGCAAAGGGCATGTGGATCCGACCGACAACACAGAACACCTGGAGAAAGTAGCAGGTCAGGTGCTCAGTTTCTTTGCTCGGCTCTCCTTATCTTTGACTTTGAACTTTTTCTTACTCTACGACTTTAAGACGGACTGACGGACTGGACTCTGAGTGCATCCTTGTCAAGAGTGATCCTTGTCAAGCGTGGGCGATGGCCCAACCAGAGCCAAACAGAAGGTATAGTATATAAATAGTTATAGCCAGTTATAGCCTAGCGTCAAGGTATAGTGTCGTGTCTGTATATTTTCCACTTTAGGACTCTCTCCGCAGATTTGCAAGTTGTGGATTGTAATTAGAAGGTTTCCTAACACATGTCAAATGTCAAACTCTCTCTCTCTCTCTGTGTGCATGCTCTCTTTCTGTTTTGTTTTGACCTTCGCAAAGGACGACATTTTCTTTCGAAAGTCTCTGCGAAGCGGATGTTGGAGAACCGAGTGCAGCACCATGCCCATGACCTTTGGAAGGTGCATGGGTTGGGTCTTCAAGATGCTTATGGTGGTATCAGGCTGGGATTGCCATGCTTGACACGACCGACCACTTTTTTACTTTGCTTAGAGTCTAGAGTCTCTTCATTCCGATTCCCACTGTTTATCAAATTTGTCCACCCGTACAGTTGGTGCGTGACTGCCCTGTGCAAGTCGGTGTCAGGTCTGACCTCATTGATTTGAGTACACCTCAAGCCACCATTGATGCAGCGCTTGAGCAGTCCTTGCACGCTCCTTGCAACAATGACCTGGACGAAAACGGCCCACGAGCCGACAATGATGTTGAGGAAAGTGCGGAGGCGCCGGCATACTCAACTTCTTTGAACTTCTCAGAGCAGGGTCAGAACGCCCACCTACATGAGCTTGCCGACCGGTGTGCCAGGCAATTTGGGCGAATGACCGCGGAGAAGCAGCTTTCAGCAGGGTCTCTGGTAAAAATAGAACCGGTGCTTGCCACCCAAATTGGTGGTGCCAGCGCTTGCTTTTTTCTGGGTGTGCATTGCAAGAAGCCTTTGTTGCAGGTGCTTGTTCGGGCAGCTCCAGTCCCACAACGCAAAAATGCATATCATGTGGTGACTGATGATGACGATATGCCATGCTTTGCGACTTCGTTCGAAGCCTTCCATGATATGCTTAAACTCCAAGAGCCCAGCAAGAGCACAGCTTCTTCCAGCCTCGATGCAGTGCCATTGCCATTTGTAGAATTTCGCGTGCAAGTTCTTTCTCACACCTTTCATCGCCATCTTTGGAGCGTGCAGGAGCTTCAAGTGCTGAGCGCCCATGTTTCTGAAGAGTTTGCTATCAGCCTCCTTCCCTCTACTGGTGGAGCTGCCAAAAAGCAAAAGACAGATCGAGACCGGTTGCCGTTCGGATTGAAATTTCAGGCAAAGCCAAGAAAACCCAGGGCTCCGAAAAAGCCAACAACAGCTGGCAAATGCCGGAGAGGACGTGGTGGAAGAGGGCGGGGTCGGGGGAGGCCGCCGCTTCAGCCTTCAGACGCAGACTCTACCGACTCTACCTCTAGCAGTGACATGTGCACCAGTTCTGACTCAGACTCTGATGCTGACAAGGGCTCTGATTCTGGCACGTCGCCAGGTCCAGTGGCGGGTGAGACCACAGCAAATTTGCAGGAGTCCAATGAGGACCTGATTTTGCCCACAGCAATTGCGCATTCTGAGAATGCCAAAGTTGCTGAAGCCGTGCAAGAGTACAAGCGTGAAGCTGTGGCTCAAGAGGCTCAGCCAGTGCGACATCCTCAGCCCTCTGGGGGGCTCCTTTTTTGTCAAAGAAGAAGGTTTTGAAGAGGGATCCATAGCCGTTTCGTCCAGAAGCCAGTGCTATCAGTGCAATGAGCGCATTGAGAAGGGGTCAATTCGCTTTAGCTATTTCTGGAACGTGAGAAGGCCATCCAGGTGGTTGCACAGTGGGTGTGTGGTAAGTTTTGTCAGGGCCAACCAGTCTGCTCGCAAGGCCCAAGCGCTCAGAGCCTTGAACCACATTGCCGCAAACGCGGCAGAAGGTCAGAGCGCAAGCGCAAGCAGTGATTCAGATGTGATCAGGGCTGCTGCAGCCGAATTGGTGTCCCAGCTTTCGTGAATTTCAATGGGTTGGGGGGTGGGCTAGAGCCACAAGTCATAAGAAACTAAATGTGTTGATTGACCATCGAGGCTGTCCTTTTCCAATGTTGGTATATTACTCTGAACTTTGCCACTTTGTTCATCGAACCCCCTTTGAAGACAATGTGGACTGGGACGGGCCATGTGGTTGCAAGAGGCTTCTGCGCAGCAGCCCTGCAAACAATCTGAAAGGGGATCAATGATCCATGTTCAATGGAGGGGGGGTTGCGAACCGTAACAAATCTCGAGTTGCTGCTTGCTTTGATATCTGAAACGTGAGTCGTAGGGGCTTGCCGCTATGTTGCATATGCCCCCTGGCGTTCGGCAAACGGTAGACGGTAGATGATCAAATGAAGGCATTGTAGATGTAGATGCGGGCGACATGATGATAGATATGATAATTTGTTTTTGGATATCGGCGACCGGTGTTATTATTGAAGCATATGTTTCGATCATTGAGATCTTCGATTCTGGTCTGGTCTATAGCCTATAGCCTATAATAGCCTATGCTACGGTACTGTACTACATGAGTAGTTGATGGGAAGCTGGGGGACATATCAAATGAATCGTATATCATTGCATTGTCACAAGTTACAATCTGTATCTACTAGCTATGATGGGCTTTGTGTTGCTTCTGTTCAAAGGAACGCAGAGTATTGCCAACTTGCCTTCAAATGAGGAATGCCTAATGACCAGCTTATGATCGGAATAAAGGGCGATCAGCTTATGATATGTTCCGTCGCTATCCCCCGCTACGCGTCAGACTCCATGTGACTTCTTCTTCTACGGCGAGCACGATGGTGAATTGATTGGTGTCAAGGCCATAGAGACCGAATATCACATTGAGGTTGTGACAGTTCGGAGGCTTGCCTCAACTCAAGTGTTGGCAGCGTTGTTGAGGTTAGTCGTATAACAAAACATGATTCTATGATGAGGTGTGGTTCAGATGATTTGTGCTGTTGTCATTTGAACTGTTGATTTTGTGACAATGTGAGAACGGGAAGCCAGTAGTCAGAGCCGTTATGAGTTGTGAGTGAGTCATGAGTCGAATCATGAATGATGACTCATGTCTGGCAGCAACCCATGACTTATGGAAACATTGCCTTTTATGCGGCTGCTAAGGAGCCGGGATTTTGGGAGCCCACAGTGTCGGCAGCGCGTTTATATACTTGGATGCCGGGCAGATGTGGTGGGGTGGGCAAACTTTTGCTGCCTGATCAAGTTCTTTCGTGAGCACATCCCATCATGGCATGGGGACAGCAGCATTGCAGAAGTGGTCGAATATGTTTCCAGCTTTGATGGAGTGCCAGAGTTTCCCCACTAGGACTGGATTTGGCTCAGGTTTTTGTTTGCTAGGGTGGGTGGGAGGCTCCTCGCCTATATTTTCTCGTGACTCACCTTGGCAATACCAGAGGGCCTGGAACGGTTCGGAACGGTTCCAGGAACGGTTCCGAACGGTTCGGAACGGTTCCTACACGGTTCCTTCATACACTAACCTCAGCCTCGAGTTAGGCAGGCAGCTCCAGAAGCGGGAGCCCGCAGCCCGCTTCCAGGAGAAAGCAATTCGAAGACCATCCAAGCTGTCACGGAAATCCCGCCAAGAGATTAGTGATTGGCAAAGCATGTTGCAAATGCAGGAAAAACAGGCCTGCGGCCTGGATGTGGGTCGGGTCGGGTAGCGTAGCTTCTTTCATAGTAGCCTGTCACATGTCTGGTTTCGGGACCTGCGCCTGCCATACTTCCTCTGCCTTTGACCTCAGGCAGCCTTCACCCGTATTCGTCGACCTTGCCAGATGCTTTGATTTCCAGCCTGACGGAGAGAGAGGTGTCCATCCTGGACATCATGTGGTGCTACATCAAGGAGCTTGTTACAGCTTGTTTGATCATGCGTTTTGATTGCCTATGGATGGCCAAGATGACCTCAATAACAATACACTACTAGGCACATCACATCCTTCTTTCCCAATGATTCACCCATTGGCCCATAGGGTATACTATACCATTACTATGACTATGATTGGCGGTCAATGACAATGATGGGCCTGCAATAAGACTATAGAATGAAAGCATATTCTTATTATGATATATGACAATGACTATATACATATATATATATTACATGATATTTGGTATGATATTAGGAACTTGGCCAGGAATGAGAACCGCCTGTAACCGTTCGAACCGCTCCGGGCCGTTTGCAAAAAAAACATAATAGTTCCTGAACAGTCTGGAACCGTTCGGAACCGTTCCGGCTTTTTCCAGAAATCAAAAATAGTCAGAAGCCGTTCGGACCGTTTCTAGTTGTTTGGGTTCCAGTCGGTCCAAATCCGTGCAGAACCGTCTGAACCGCTCCGTTCTGTTGAACATGTGCGCTGGATCAAAACATGTTAGTTATAGTCATAGTCATAGTTATACTATGTCTATTGTTTAAGCATCTTAAAACGCTTAATGTAAGTTTAAGACCGTATGGAAACCATTAACATGCAAAAGCAGTTTGCTTCTACAAGATCATAATATCTACAATATCTTCTTAATGTTAAGTTAGAGTCCAACAATATCATAATGACTACTGCATCGTTTCTTGGAACTTCTGAACAAATTCCTTCTGTATCATTGTACTGTGCTTATAGGGGTTCAGTTCTTGCACAGAAGAGAGGGAACTTGGCACGCCCTAGAGTTCTTCTTACGATACTTATATACCCCCCCCCAGAAAATTAACTCTACTACTGTGCTACTCGCGATGCTACGCTAATGAGGCTCGGAGGAACACAGCTTCGGGTCCAATCAATCTTGCACACCATCCGCCAGCTGATGCTCCTACACTCGCGCGGTTCTGCACTCCCTATGATGATGAGGAATGAGGATGAGGAATGAAGGAATCTGAGGGTCAGGATGATGCTATAAGTTATGAGCTGTAGGCATGTGGCGCGCGCTTGGGTTTTCATGCATACTTAAGATTTGGGATGCCTGCAGGTGTGCCTCACACACTTGCTCG